AAAAAAAAAAAAAAAAAAAAAAACATGTTAAAAATTAGAGTGCAAAAAATGTTGGCCAGTTAATCTTTGTTTGCAATATGTTAACAGCTTTTTTTTTCTACCAAATTTACCTAGTTTAAATACAATTTTATCGTTTACTTTAAATTTTTTTGTCAAATTCTATTTGATTTTTAGTGAAATTTTTTTACTGTGCCATAATTCCTATAAACAGACGCTTGATGCCAGTTGTGGTGAAGTGGAATCAGAAAAGATATGTAAATGGTGGTTGAATTTTCTCGGTAAGTAATGATAGTTTGATCAAAAAAAACTATTACTCAAATAATACTTAAATAGCTAAAGCTATACAATTAAGTAATCTTGAATAATTTTGTCTCTTACAAAAATTTATCAGTTTTGAAAAAAAAAAAGCGAGAAGATATGTTTTATATTTTTGACATTAATATCCTAATGAATATTTCGCCTGGTTTAGAACAATCAAAAATAAGAGGAACAGATCCTGACGATGACGCCGAAATCACTGACTGTCGTACAGAGTGTCTCTGGGAATATCTTAGGCGAAACTTCACCGATGAAGAAAAGTTTGATCTGTTTACCAAGATTATGAACATGCAACTTGATGCTTGTGAAGTTAGTGTTCTTAGCACTACGCAAAGATGTACAATTGACAGTTGATTTTCTTATAATTTCTAAGCAACAATGAGTTGCTCCTTCTGTGCTAAAGTTTAAGTAAAAGTGTTACTTAACAGTTTCAAACATATCAATTGTTCAGACAGCGGCTGTATCATTTCGACCCTTTGATTCGAGATATTTAAACCGGGTTTTAAAAATATGCCAGACTATTAACAGTTACTACAACGAATTTTCAGGTGAGCATTTGAATATTTTATATGTTAGTTAAATAATTTATAACTTTTTTTATTTTTGTAAAAGAATTTTAATTTTAGAGTTTTATTTCAGTTTATGCTATATATAATTGATATAAAGTCTTCACCCAATTGGTTAACCTCACTACACTAGACTAGCAAGAATTATGCAGTCAAAAGTCAAAAAATAACTAATTGGTTAACAAAAAGAAAAGATTAAGAAGAAATAATCAAAATTTACTGACTTTTTTGTTATTCATTGTTAGACTGCTGTCTAGAAATTTAAATTTTCAAGGATATATATTGATATTCTTCTAAAAAAATATTTTTGAACTTCTTCAGTTCTGTTTTTTACACATTATATCGGTAGTTGCTGCTTATCATTCATTGAAAAGTACAGAACTGAGAATCTATGGTGAAATTGAACTGAAAGACCTAAGCTTGATCAAAGGCACTATCAAGACTAGGGCGTTTTAGGTGGCAGTAATTTAGGAATAGGTTAATTTCAGTAGCAGAACAACTGCCAACGTGTGTTGAAGAGGGACTTGAATTGGCCAGACTTGGAGTTGACAGTGCTAAGTTAGACGTCAAGGAGTATGCACGTGAGGCTGGACTTGCCGGGAACGATTTTAAAGAAGATATTTACTATATCGAGGTTTTTTTTCATCTTGCCAAGTTGAACTATGGTTGATCGTCTGAAAAACAAGACTACTCTACTTAGCAAAAGAAATTCTATCTTTTTCCTTTGATAGCCATTGTCACTTCTACTAATAAAAGCTTGAAAAAGAACTCTCAAGTTGAGATTTTTAAAATCAAAAGAAGAAGCTACTTTACGGGAAACGCAAAAGCTAAAAAAAAAATAATTTTTATAATTTTTCACTTTAGTGGGTTACTGGAAGAGTGATGAGTGTAAATGTGAATAAACAATACCTTTTTCGTTAATATTTTTGAGATTCAATGCGACTAAATAAACAAAATCAAGTAGCTACCTATATTTACTTGTACAACTGCTGCTACATTGTCGTTTTTCTTCAACCAATTTGATTCTATCAAAAAACCTGACAATAGTCGGCATGTTATCGCCGGTAATTTGATTTGGGAGCTGGGAACTGTTTCTAATTCCGAAGTTAAAAAAAGGCAGTTTTAAAACCCAAAGTTTCTCAATAACCAAAAATTTGCGTTTTTGAGGAGACTCAGTCTTTGAAACGATAAGGACATGAGGGTTCGGCGAAACAGTTAAGAGTGGAAAAGCGGAAGGGATAGGGAAGAAATAGTTGTTTTTCCAAGTTCTTTTATATGACCCGTTTTCAAAAGGATCAATTCTCCAAACTGATGCCAGGTCTTTTTGGTCTTACAGCGTATTAATAGCCTCAATTTTTTCAGAGTGCAAGCCTTATAAAAGAAATTGATGGCTTACTGGCGAAATTTCTGAATGACGAACTGCATCACTCAGACACAGAATCTGACTGTTTCATCAGTTCCGAGGAAGGTAATGCCGAGGTAGAATCTGTACAAAACGACAGCAATACGGTTACAGAATTCAGTGAAACAGCAACGTTAAGTGAAAAATTGCTTGACGACGCGCTGTCCGGTGACGAAAACGAGTATTACATTACACGAATGTAACAGTTGTTGTTTCTTCGGTTCTCTTCGTTGTTCAACAATCACTGTTGACCACTTTTAAGGCTTTAGTTTTTTTCCTTCTATCCTCTACATTTCTTGTTGTACTTTGAAATCTTTTTAGAACCCTTATCCTTAGTTATTTAAAAGTCTCTTCCAGATTAAAAAAATGAGAAACAAAGAAAAAAATAATAAGAAAATAAATGAATCGGGTTTTGCACCATTAATGCAAATATTAAAATGTTTGCCTGTAAATTTTGTTTTGTCTTCTTAAAACGTTTAGTATATTGCTGAAAATTCGGTGTTTTTTTGCAACGGAGTTGCTAAAGCAGCTTCTCTGTGATTTAAAAATGCTTACGAAAAAAAAGAAGCCTTGGTGGTAAGCTTTAGGTAGTATTAATACTAGCAGATATGAAGGTCGTCTAAGCAAAACGCACTTTTAAATACAAAATTTTGTAGGCTAAAATTTTAGAACTAGAAATTTTGTACAGTTTTTTTTTCTATTTTTAAAAATTTATTTGCAAAAAAAGAAATGCTGGAAATTTTACCACTTACTTTTTTCTTCTTTAATTTCTCTTTCACTATTCGTCGCCCG